CACTTTGTGCTGGCGTGAAGGTTACTCGCCGGCGTGGCAAAGCGAGTCTCCCAGATCACACACCCGCCGCTCTCTGTCAGTTTGTCCATCTTGCCGTCCATGGCGGCGAAGACCACCGGCGTCAGCAGGACCAGCGCGGCGGCAGGCAGCTTCGAGTTCCGCTTCGTCCTGCCCTGCGACATCGGGCACATCCAGCCTCCTATCCCCACCAGGCCACCACCGCCTCTCAAGGGTACTCACTGGTTTCTCACCCCTTCCTGCCCCCAAATCTGCACTCTCTTCAAATCTGTTTCGGCATTTGTTCGATTTTATTTTAGCTTTTGTTCTAGTCTGTATAATTTGACATCCATCACCCTTTTTGCTGTAATGGTAGTACGTTTTACATTGTGACCTCCGCTTTTTTCCACTCTTCTGTGCCTATGTCACATATGGCTGTTTTTTTTAATCAAATGTCACATATGGCTGTTGGTGCCCCTGTGTAGCCAATTTGATTTGTTTAAAACCTGCATCCTTAGTAATAATACCCACTTGGTTTAGTTGCACGCTGTCTACACATCCCTACAATTCATTGTCCCCTTCCTGCCCCACAAATCTCCACTCTGCTCAAATATGTATTTTTTGCATTTGTAAGATTGTATCCATCTCCTTGTCTTCCGTGACGAGTGCGACTATCCATGTGATGCGGTTACCATATTTGGGAGAACCATTCTCTTACCCACAAGTGGAAGTATCCGTAATCCAAGTGCACATCGTCTCAGATGGCTGTCCGCGCCTCGGTGCAGCCAGGCCATTTGATTAATCCAAAACCCACATAATCTCTTAATAGTATGGATCGCTGGCTGATCTCGGTCATAAATGCTACTGCTAACGCATTTGACTTTTGATTTGGCCGAGAACAGATCCCAAGCTCTATGCAACTGTGGTAGGCTTTAACCTATTGACCCCGGCGTCGCTCTAACTTATCTCCTACTTCCCCGTGATCAAGCGGTCCAGCTCCGTGAACGCGTCGACCGAACCGGTCATATGGTTCATGGTGCCGGTATCAAGGAAATAACCCTCACCTTGCTTATCTCCTACAAGCACAGATGTGGTCAATGGTGACAGCTCTCTCCTTGTTCAGGAAGATGTAGCCGCACGCACACACCGTTTTCGAGGAACCATCTCTTGCAAACGCAATGGACCCCGAACACTTTATTGCCGGGGTGTGGACAACCTAAATGGTGGCGTACACCTGCATGGACTCAATGGTTACCAACATCATGACCGAGACGTGGCCCACCAGATGCTCCATGTCCTCTTGCACGGTCTTGCCAAGCCTGAACATTGTTAGGTCTGCCGTGGCCGGGGCACCATCAATGACGTGGTTGTTGAGGTGTGGCTCCCCCACGCTCTTGCCTTTCACCGCCTCCCATTAAATAGGTTTCATGAACGATATTTTCTGGGAAGTTCCTAGCTATTGGAATGGATTCCGCTAACGGGCTCCCTGCCGCTTCTTCGCCTCACACTCCCTCGGCCATTGTCAGAAATCTCGTGGCCATCATCAAGGCGGTCTTCAACCACTCGCAACTGACATGTGAGTTCCTCGATGCAGAGCATGCACAGGTCAAGCAGAGTCTCGATAGTGGTTGCTACGTGAGTCTTCAACCACTCATTGCCGATCATGTCGCCGAGCAAGCAAAGCTTTGTCGCGAGGCTATCGATCCTCATGGCGAAATCGGCGACACGCTCGCTGTCCTTTAAGGCAATGTTCTCGAATCCCGCCCATAGCCTTCACGTGTTCACCTTGTGCACGCGATCGCTGCCGAGGCGCTAGGTCCTGATGGATGTCCATGACTCCTTCGCCCTCACCTTCACCATGAGCATGCCATGGATCTCCAGCGAGGTAGAGCGGATCAAGGTTGCCTCTAGTTCGCACTCCATGATCATCTCCTACTCGTTACAGTTTGACAGAGTGATCATCTGGAAGGTAATATTCGTGCCGCCGCCTCCAATGAACTCGCGCACAATATCCCATACCACGACCTCATTGTCGCCACCACGGTGCCGCAACGGGCTACCTTCACGGTTCCCCAACGATAGCGCTCCTCCCGTGGAAGTGGCAGCTTGGAGACATCTGTTGCGGTCTGCAGCTGCTGGCCAAGCAGCGTCTTGGAACTATCCGAGGTGGAGAGCTTGACACCGCCGCCTGACATGGCCATCGGAAGAAGGCTTTGATGCCAATTGTAAGCTCAAACTACTATAGTAGGGGTGTACTATGAGTGGTAGACATTCTACCCAATGAGTGATAGGGGTCCTCGTTTGGAGTGCTAGGGTCCTGCATCATGAGTTGTAGGGATCTCCTGTAAGTGGTAGGGGTACTATACTATGAGCGCTAGGGGTGTTCAAAATATTCATTCTTACACACATGTAAACTTGTATAAAGTTGTGTTAAGCTTTAAAGATGAAAACTTTCACAGAGGGAATGGCTTACTTACAATGAAGGATTACAAACCATTTTATAAGACAAACAAACCGACTATGGCTGCACATTATGTGTACTACAAACTAGTACTACTAGTGTGAACATAAAAGAAAATTCCTAGCTGTACTGCCATGCATTAATTGGATGCTATCCTATCCGGTCATCTTATCCAGCTACATATAGCGATAAGCCTCCTTTTCCGACTCTTGGTTCCTTCGTGACGGGGTTGAAACCAACATGCGTCAGATATGGTTGTTTGCATGGACCCTGGAGAAGGCTTATTTTGTAATATTTTGTGTACGGGTTTTTTTTCTGCAATTTTTCTAGACACATGTCTTTTTTAACACAGTACAGACTCAAGCGTCTATACATACACACATACACTCATCTCTATGAACACACATACACCCTACCCCTATTCTAGACACGTGTCATGTCTGGTTGTTTCAGTAGTTTTTTGTGTGCAGTTGCACTCTGTGGTATTTTTTTAGAAAAGGAGAAGGACCACCGGCCTCTGCGTCTGGACGATGTGTGCAAACACTTTATTAATTATTCACACAAGATCTTACAAAGTCATACAATAGTAAGACTAAAGCCACCGTCTAGGCAAAATCTGTCGCAACTCCTATCCAGTTGCTGAAGGGATGCTAATAGTCTGGGCCTAATACCAAATAGACCTCATAGCCAAACCTATCATCTGAAAACTGAGGTCTCAACCAGGACGCCTACCGGGTATGGGGTACCCACCAGTCCGGCACACTTCTCAACCAGGACGCCTGCCGGGTATGAGGCCGCAGCAGCCACCTGCCACAAATCTATCTTCAGTGTTGTACTGTTGCATCAATCTTGCCCGGTCTAGCAGCCGTCGACGCTACCACCACGCCAGACAACGCCACCTCCCTGCGCGAGTCCATCTCCGCGCATCAGACGTTGAGTCTCCATGGCGCCATCAATATGTAAGCTGAAGCACCGCTCCACCAAAAAGCCTTCCACTGGTCCCTCGGTCCGTGTACACCTCCATGAATGACGCCCCCCAAGAGAGAAACGACACCATAGCGCCGCCGTCACCTGATATACTGATCTAGGGTCTCCCCCGAAGGTAGCATAGAGTGGCCTTGAACTTCTCCACAGCGATGCCTTCAAGAAGGGAACGACGCAGACAGCGCCGCCACCACCGGCCTTGGTAGCTAGCCGAGAGCAGGTTTTCACCCAAATCTGTTCGAAGATTCTCCCTTAAGCATCTCGTGCACGGACTGCCGCCATCTCTGCCCGGGACTGGACGAAAGGGATCCAGGCCGCCGCCGCCTGACCGGCCATGGCACCACCATGATGCCTACAGTCGGCGCCGTCAGGCCCACCACGCTCGCCTGTAGATGCACACCGGAACCGCCGGCCCGCCCAACAGCATCTGGGCAAGACCAGATCGGCGATCTCAGCCATTGCCACAGGGGCGACTCCGCTGCGGGGAAGTTGCGCCTCCGCCGTTGCCGCCGTCACGCATGCCGTAGGGATCCCGCTGCTCCTTGCCGCCGGATCTCCGTCGAATGATGCGCCATCGCCGCCCGGAAAAAACGCCACCACCGCACGAGGGATAAGGCCCCGCCGCCGCCATCATAGGCCAGGCTTCGCCTGTGAGACCTCAGGCGGTGGCTGGACGGAGGAGGCGAGGGGAAGGGGCCTAGGGCCGGCGGCGTGGTCGCCCCCCGTGTCGCCTAGGGTTGGCGACGCTGGGGTGGGTGCGGTTCACTCGGTGGTATTGATTAATATAATGTTTGTGGTTCAAAGAAAAAACATAGGCAATTGCCTATATAAGCAAAAATGCTAGATACACGGATTATATCGACGAACTTTTACGGACCAGCTGACTTGTCCTTTTTTAATTGGGCTAACTAAGGGCATGTACAATGGTTAATAAGATAGTCTTGGCTTAAGTTTTGCATGTAATTTAGAGATGACAAAGAAAAATGTCTACAATGAGTCATCTTTTAGCCTTATCTTCAATAACTAGTAATTTCTAAAAATGTGATGAGACATGTTGTGCTAAGATATCATCTTTTGTCTTATCTTAAATAAGAGAAGATAAGCCTTCTCTTATGAGTTCTCTCTCCTCCGCTTCATCATTTATCCTGCGTGACACTCCTAAGATAGCACCATTGTACATGCCCTAACCTCCTTCTCC